AATTATTTAATTTCTTCAGTTAATCATGTAAATAACATTATATTGATACTTGGATACTATATTGATACAATACTTATTGAAAAATGGGAGAAATGAACAAAATATATATAATATAATCTATCATGCACATACAAATGATATAGCCTATAGTCAAGTCAAGTCATCTTATTTTATATCGCTTAGCACTTTTAACAAAGGATTGTTCCAAAGCGGCTTTACAGTGATAATACACCGTACAAAATATTGTTGGTTTAACTTAAAAAAATGAAGTAACTTGGCTGCCTTAAAAATTTAAGTTCATTGAAATAGAAAAATTGAGTTAATACAATGAAGGTTATCTTAAAATATTATGTTATCTGAACTACATAAATTATTTAAGTTGATTTGACAAAAGAAATAATTGATATAATTGATAGAAATAAATGATTACAAATCATGAAAGTATTTTTTTTACAGTGTAGAGATTGTTTTGGTTGTATAGCAGCTCTAGAATAAAGTTATTTTCCAGCTAAAGTTAGTTTTGATTGATTCACTTCCTTTGCAACAATCATTAGTTATTAACTTAAAATAATTTATGTAGCCACTAACACGACACCGTTTTAACGCCCAAGTTCTCTCTACTACGGAAACTACAAAAAACGTGAAAACGTGAGAAAGCCAATGGCACGTACAGTTTGGTACATATTAAGAGTCCGTCCACTCCACAGGTATGTGCACAGCACAGGCATGAAGTCCTTCCTTAAAAAAAAACAACCCTCAACAAATTACTTGTCTGGCCTAAAAATTTAGAATACAGAATTTTTATCGCTTCAGTGTAGTGATAAAAATTGTAGCAATGCACAATTTTTAATGTAGCGGTGAAAAAATGTAGCGATGCACACACACACACACACACACATATATATATATATATATATATATATATATATAATTTATAATTTGTAGTCAAGAGTATATACTTGAGAAATGTCTCTGTGTGATGAATGTAAAAATCTGAATTCCACAATGAGAATGAGTAAAGTCAGTCCTGCAACAAGACTGAAAATATGACTGGTACATGATGTGTTTACACACACCCACTAAATGCGTGTGTTTGAATTCAGATCTTTTTGGGACGAATTGAGTCTGATATCTCACTCTGATGGAAATATGTTTCTATGTGTGTCCAAGACTAGTACAACCCAGTCTTAGAGCTGTGTTATTTGGGTAGGTTCAGGATAATCCATTCACTCAAAAGAGGATTGAAGCGTCAATCTGGTTTTGATGACTTAGATTCAGACCATTGTGTGTTCTGATGTAGTCGAAGATTTAGTGTACTGGATTTAGTGCGAGCGTGTGTGTGTGTGTGTGAGCTGTAAGTAGCCAGCAGAATATTCTGGAGATTAATTTCATCATTATTAAGAGAAGAGGAGCACATAATTCTCCCTCTTTTTGTAAGGTCACTATGAGGTCTCACTGGGCTATGGCCTACATCTCCATAATCACAATCAAAAAAATAAAATAGAAAACAAGATAGAAGATAGAGGCTAGGTTATAGATAAAAAGAGACTCTCTCTCTTTCTCTCTCAATCTAAAAAAAAAAAGTTTGATATTGTGATATGTGGTTACAATACTCTATTAATCATGTTTCATGTTATTGACGTCCAAACTGGACACAGGTGCATATTTGATTGTCTTTTTGTCATATTTGATTGTCACATATTGGAACAACATCAGGGTGAGTAATGACAGTGATTATAATGATCATTTTTGGATGTAATGTCCCTTTAAGAGAGTAGAAGGTACATATAAATTGTAATAATGTGGGATGGATGACAGCGAAAAGAATGAGAAGAGAAAGTTAGTGATCAGGGTCCAGGGAAGATTCATAGATGGAGGGATGTGAACGAATAAAAAAGGGTTTGGAACATGGGGAGAGAGCGATGGAAAGTGGATGAGAGTTGTTAATCTCTCTCTCTGTTGCTCTGTGCCCTGCTGCCCGTCCATATGGCTGTGTATATGAGTGTGAGAGAATATAAATGAAAAAGGAAATTAGGTGCAAGGTGACTGACACATGCCATCATTCATATAATGAGATGCTTGGATTAACAATAACCTCTGCATTGCCATTATTGTAGCTGCACCTTTCCATATTAGTGTGTCGGGACAAACAAGACAGCTTATGACTTCAGACCACAGATTGCTGCTTTATCTCTAGTAGGAAAGCCTGTTTTAATTAACATCAGCCTAAGCCCATTAACGAAGGAACAGACAAGACCATTGTGTCGCATCTTTCTCTTTCTCTCAGTCTCTCGAATACACACTGCACAGAGCATTAGTCCTTATTAAAACAGATAGTATCATTTGCTACTGCGGTCAGAGTTCAATGATCGTTTGGTGAGAATTTGTCTCGTTCCACTAAAAGACAATGCCAATTTTTTCTACTTCTGTAGAACACAAAAGTCATTTCATAGTGACTATGGGCTGTCAAGCTCCCAAAAAGCAAGCAAACAAACAAACTTTAGAAAGAAAAAAAAATAAATTCAGCTAATGTCGTTAAAATAGAGTGTCGAAGTGATGACTCGGAAGCTAGCGGTGCATCGGTTCCATCGATCGAAACGCTATGCATTTTCCCCATAGACTTTTGGAAAATCGCAAAAAATAAGATCTGCGTTTAACAAAGAGTTGTGACCCTTACACATTTTGTCTATCAAGATAATCTTTACAAGTTAAAGAGGCTATATGCAGCTTTCCCCCCAAAATAAACATAACAATACCCTTTTTATTTTACCATTTATGACTAAAACATCTCCTGATGAGCATACTGACACATTGTCCGGTCACAGTGGGTGCACCTATAAGCCTGTATCCTATTTTTCCTATTTTCTGTCGGGTCGGACTTTTCCCGCACTGTCTGCGGATGTGACGTCAAGCGCGTTCATAAACATAATGTTGTCTGTAAACATAATGCTGACCTCCTTGCAGCAGATGACTAAAGTGTGCACGTAAAAAAGCACATGTTGTGAGAGCGAGCAGAAAGGAAGAGCATTTCTGTTTTTTGGCCACAGGTGTCAGTCACGAGTTTAAATTTCAGGAAACGCATATAGCCTCTTTAATCCAAAATTTATACATTTTGAAGCCTATATTAAGTTTTTAAAAAACACAAGCAGACACAATAAAGTTTTGAAAACCACAAGCAGGTTATAACTGTGTGTTCTATGTCATAGATCAAAACGTGAAAATATTTAGAGGCTTTGTTCACCACAGACCTTATTTCAGGTGATTTAGCAAAAACCCATTCAAAAAACCCATAGACTTTAGAGCGAGAGAACCGGGAGTGCTAAAATGCTAACTTACTTCCGCGTTTTGGCCTACAGAGTGACGTCATAACTTCGGCACTCTATTCTGGATCTGAGGAATGATTAATTTGTTTTATTGACAATGTTTAAAAAAAAAGCAATGACCCTTCATGAACCTTACATTTACATTCATTCATTTAGCTTCATTTTAGCTACCAATTAAAATGTTCTTGTCTCTCCTTTTAGAGAAGAGTAAATTACGTTTTAGCTATGCAACTCACTTAGGAGGCTCTTCTTCACGACTATTAATGATGTAAGAGTTTCAGACTGACAGGGGGGAAGTGAACTAACACTGTCCCACATCAGTTAACCACTGGTTGGTCTCCATGGAGCCCCTGTGTTATATAATACAAGAAGATGATGTTCCCTCTCAGTTAATCACTCTAAATGCTTTTGATGGCCACAGAGGAGGTCTATTATACATTTCTGACCAGTTTCTCTGTCTATCTATACCACTGTGTCACTGTCTGTTTGTCATTCTACCTGTATCATCCGATAAAGTGTGAGGTAATTGCCTTTCTTCAGGTTCCCAACAGAAGTTGAGGTGTTTCATCCGCACCATAACGGAACTTGAGTGAGAGCAGACGTTGTTCTTTTAGGGGTTATAAAGTTTGCACACCTGAGGGATTCCAATCAGTGGTCAGTAGTAAGTGAGATATACGGCCAGTGTCAAGCTCTTTGCCACAAGTCCCCTTTCTTTCCTTTATAGCATCCATGTGTGTGTAGACAGGCATGAATAGTGAGACAAAATGCTTGATTTTAAAGCAGGTCCCCAAGGCATGGCATCTCTCCTGGTGCTGTTTGCGTGAATGTGTCCGCCCATTGATTTATCTCTTCACAGTCATCCCCTCAGAGAGAGCTCTGCTCCAGTAGCTGCCATAGCGGTGCCGTCATTCACAATTGTTTTTGAGATCATTTTATTATTTCCTTGTTATTTTACAACTTGTGCCTGCAGTCTGCCTGTCTGTCTATCGTCCTACCCACATGGAAATTTCATTGGTCCATGATAAAACATCAAATATATTCTGAGTGGATCTGATAGGATCACCAACGCACAGCAGTTTCCATTCAGTGTGAACAGAATATCTTGTTGCTGGTGTAAAGCTCTGGGATTCAGGACGGAGGAGAACCTATGACCTTGCGGGAGGGTTTTCTCGTGTGTGTCTAATTACGGGCTGATGGTTTATTGGTTTGTCAATGTCTCTTTGTGGTCACTAGAGGAATGCTCTCAGGTAGATATATAAGCTGCAAGTCTATTTCTGAATGTGCTCATATGTAATCTACACCAGCGTCTGCCTGTGAGCGTGTATGAGTACCGGTACAGTAAGAGATAGCTTTTGCATGGTTAGTTTTGTAAAGTAGGACTCTCATTTCAAAGGTGAGGTGTTTTATATTCTAGTCTTTATGTTTGTTTGCCAAGCTTCCTGGGGCGAAACGTATTTGTTTGTTGATCTCCTCTGCGATAGCAGCGTAACACATCAGCAACACAACAGCACACACACAAAGATCAAGTATACACGTCCAAAAGCACCCTCTTGCAACAATGTGATTATTCAGTCTCCTCTACATGACTTTGCTTTCCTAATTGGTGCATAGATGATGACACATTCATTGTATGATAATGTATCTTGCTGACCTAGTTGTCGGTGTGTGTTCTCACAGGTGTAAAGGAGCGTCACACTATGGCCTCTCCGCAGAGAGAAAGCGGCGCTCTCAGGAGGGAGATTGCACAGATAGCACCTCAGAACTCACTGTGGCGGCACTGCCCGGGGAGGGATGCCCCTCCTCTGCTATTGCCCTCCTATCAGACGAGCCTGGCCTGGTTAACCCCGCCTATGAGCCCAGTATGGAAGATAACAGCCAATCAGGGAGCACCACCAGCCTGGCAGCACGCAGCGGTTCCAGGAAGAGTGAGTGTGAGTGCACACAATTGTGTTTGTGTGTATTTGTCGAAATATATATATATTTATATATATATATATATATATATACAGTATATTAAGAATAAATGTGGTATTTATTTATTTTTTAATTTTAAAAAAGTACATTAAAGGATGTCCCCCACAATATAAATGTTTGTATTTCTCCCTCATACTTACTGAAACAGCTAATCTGACTAATGTCAGTTGTTCAAAGCTGCCTTATGCAGTTTTATGGGGGAAAAAAAATGTTCATCCACAAAGTGGATGTCTGAAAAGGTTCATCTGAGACGTGCAATTGAAATTGCAGTAACAGAAACAAAGAGGAGGAGATAGAGAACGTTCAAATATACCTTATGAATACTTTATGAGGCCTGTTCCTGACCTCCACAAAGTAGTTCAGATATGTTTCATTGTCTGACGTCCCCTTGAAATGTGAAGCCTTAAGAATGGGGACAATAAATGTTGCTGCTCCAGCAATTCTGGCTTTGGGACTGGAAACAGTGTGACACTGCAGCTGAACAAGCTGTCTGGCTCCAATGTTGTCAATGCCACATGTCAGAACTCTGTCCATCAGGACAGAAAGACTGAAAGAGTTGAGGTATGAGACAGAACAACATGTATTGCAAGGGGTTTCAACCTTTACAGACCCAGCAACCCTACCATTTTTAATCTTAAATAACTTTACTAAATTAACTAACTTTACTATATTTTATTATCCCTAACTGATCATTAGTTTGTCGTAAATTCTCTACAGTTTTATTTATCTTTTCCACTTATCACCTGGTGAGTCTCTCGGCATCCTGGGTGTATTAAAAATGTCAAACAGGGCATATGTAACATAACATAGTTGTATTTTTGTTATAATGTGAAACTTTTGTCTGTGATCTATAGATTAAGTTAGATAAACAGACATAAAAAGTGTCCTGCTCTGTTCTGTGCTGATTCAGGTCTGACCAGAAGAAGTTATAAGTAACCTTACTGCAGTGTCCACAATACAGCACCAGCAGGTGCTGCTTACTTCAGATGTTCATTGCTTGGCCTGCAGGTGCAATGTATTTTGGTGCTACAAAGAGAGAAAATTTGATTGGCTACTGTGTGCGACTCATTTGTGATTGGCTGCAAGTGGATAGAAGGATGTGTGAGGGACATGTTCAGGCATGTTTAGGCAAAGTAGTTTCTCTCTCCTTCTTTTTCACTCAGTTCCTTCATATCTCTCTCACGTTCATTCACAGATCGCAACTTTGACAGAACTTCGGTGCGTAGTCGCTCTTTTCGGCGCCTGAATCGAGCCTTTAGTGTCCTGAGGAGGACCAAGAGTGGGACAGCAGTAGCCAATGACACCTCAGAGGAGCGTGACAACCTCAGAAACGCCAACATACCACCAGAGGGTAAGTGTATGTGTCTTACAAGTACTGTATTTGAGCATTTGTCAGCTGGTCAGGTCAGGAGTCCAGCTGGTTAACCAGCTAAACACCAGCTTAACCTGGCAAGGAGACCAGCTGGGGGACCAGTTCGACCAAATTAAAACCAATAAAGAGTAGGCAGATAGGAGAGAACGCAACAGAGAAAGTGTGTGTGTGTGTTATGGAGAAAGAAGGACAGATGAAGATAAGAAGAGGTATATCAAAGATTGTTACTGGGATTACTAAAGATTGTCAAAGCTGGCACAGGCAGAGGTTCAGTGTGAATCTAATCTTTCACCCCCCAAAAAATGCAAACACATGAACACATTTACAGTATGAATTCACATGCACATGGTTCCTTCAATCATTTAGATTTCATCCATAGTTTAGTACAATTTGATCTCTTCAAGTTGCTTTTTTGCATTATAAAATTAGTAAATGTAAGAATGTTTGGTTAAATATGAAAAAATGTTTGGTTATAACTGTGTAACTGTGCTGTTATGAAGCATTATAGCATATTTAAAAAGCTCCATGTGTCATAATGATAAGTTTAAACACAAAAGAAGATATTTCGAAGAATGTCAGTAACCAAACAGTTGATGTTTGACTTTGACTTACCCATATTCTTCAAAATATCTTCTTTTGTGTTCAGCAGAAGAAAGAAATTCATACAGGTTTGGAACAACATGAGGGTGAGTAAAAGATGAAAGATTTTTGGGTGAACTATCCCTTTAAGAACCTGAAATGGCAGAGAAATGGTCACCTACAAAACACAAAATCATGTTCTCATGCTCTGGGAAAAAAGTTTCCCATCAATAGTGTTCAATGGAAAGATAAAACAATCGATGGATAATAAAGGGTGTGTGTCAGAAGGTGACAGTCTGGTTTGGGTCCGCTCAGCACCGCAGTAGCATATGGTCCTTTAATAATGCAGATGGAGCCTGAGGAGACTTATCAGAGAACGACAGAGAGGAAATGAAGCAGTGTGTCGGGACAGAGGGACTGGACAGATGAACGCTGAGTGAGAGGGTTGCTTTCTGAATGAAAACAAAAGTGAAAAAGACTGCTTGAGAGATTTGACATGAGTGAGGAAAATACTGATGAGTTTGGGTGTGTGTTCTTTCGTTATGTAACACACTGGTTGCAGTAGTAATGAGCTGCACTTTCTCTCTCCCTGCAAGCAATCAGAGGAGATGAGAGGAAAATATTGACTTTGAAAGAGAGAAACTGCAGATTGTGGAGAACAGGCGGATACGAGAGAGAGAGTTTGTGTAATGGAGAAAGAAGGGATGGATAAAAGATAAGGAGGTGACAAATCACAGAGGTTGTTACTGAATACAGCTGTAGTTTACAGTCATTTCAGTTACAGGTACAAATCTTTCACCCAGAACAAATACAAACGGTCGAGCATATTCTAAATAAATGTCCATTAAGTATTTTCATAATGGTCTGTCAAACTGTAGCTCTATGGCAGCATAGCAATCTATAAAGTCTTCAGTGTCATATCCTTCAGAAATCGTTCTAATATGTCGATTCAAGAAACATTTATTATTATTATCAATGTTAAACAGCTGTGCTCCTTAATACAGTCTACTAAAACTATAATGAGAGTCTGTTGACATGTAGTTGCAAAGTTACTTATAGTTAGTAGAGTGTCAATGTACATACAGTGTACATTCAAAGATCTCTGGGGTCAGTATGATTTTTGGTTTTGGATCTTTGGGTTTGTCCATATTTGACCCAAAGTTGAAACAACCCTGCATTTTAAGAGTGTAGTTTATCTGAATTATGCACATCTTATATTCAGAATATAAAGTCTTGCCACCTCCTCCCTCCTTCCTCTGATGGACCACTGTAATGCTTTTTAAGGCTTGAAGTCATGTTTGGCCTTGCTTTGGTCTGGATAGATGCCTCGTTTAGTACAGAAAGTAATGATCATGTGGGAGTTCACTGATTACAGATCTCTCTCTCTCTCTCTCTCTCTCTCTCTCAGTATTTGCATTACCCCAGCTGCATCATCTAATCCCTGATGGTGAGCTCACCAGTATTAAGATCACCAGGGCAGATCCTTGTGAACCTCTGGCTATCAGCATTGTCGGGGGCAATGAGACGCCTCTAGTACGCATTCTCATTCAGGATATCTACCGAGAGGGGGTCATCGCTCGGGATGGAAGACTGCTACCTGGGGATATGATCCTCAAGGTGCGTATGTGTGCTAGATCTAATGTTACGTCATTGTACAGTAGGAGTGATAGCACATGTTGTCATGGGCTTCGCCATCTGTTGTTCAGAAGGGAAGTGTGTTTCTGAGGACTCTGCATGCAACCAGACAGAATACGATTTTTTAAAATTCCATTTTGTTTTAATTTTTTATTTAATTGTTTAATTTAATTAAATTATATAAATTAAAATAAGCAGGGCTGTAGTGATTAGACTAAAATTTGATTTAAAGCCGCAGTCCGCATTTTTTCCTATTTGTCGCCATCTCTGTTCGAAATCTGCAATTGCAGTCTTTCATGGAATTATCAACTTTACGTGAGTTGTAGTTCGACACCATTACTCTTTTTGGAAGTAGCTATGACTAACATAATTAGTCGGAAAATCTAATCTGATGTAATGCCAGAAAATGGCATAGCCGGAAATGTCGGAAATGTAATCTGAACAAGTAAAATCCACTTTTGTTCTGGTTGTGACATTGCAGTAAAAACCGTGCAAATCATTCTTTGTTCTTAACTTGTTAATGTTAACAACGTCAGCATTGCGTGACTACATGCAATGTCCTTCCGATATATGTCCTTGTTTTCGAATGGGTCCGGTTGCAGTGTCTTTTTTTTTTTAAGTTAGCCACTCTGAAATCTGAACAAAGTCTTTTGCATTTTACAACTTATACATTCACCCATCTTACTTGTCACTGGTGATTGTCGTTTTGGTGATTGTCGATCGAACCTTTCTGGATCCGCCATCAAAATTGATACGTTTACTTACATCAAGTACTGTGAGAAAAGGCTAAAAAAAGCTACGGACTGTAGCTTTAACTAAAGTATATAATTATTTAGATTTTCAGAGAAATGGTAGATATGTAATATTCTATACTATTATGTCTAAACAAATAAACAGTATCGACTAAAACGGTCTAAATGTTGACATAACTGATATGGTACCAATACATTGTGCATCCCTAAAAACTACAGCTTAGCTGAAAGTAGAATCAGATTTCTCCACTGTTTGAGCTTTGAAAATGTAATAGAAAAAAGACAAAGACAAACAAAACAACAGTTCTCTTGATTTCCCTCTCTCATGCCGTCTTCCCTTCAGGTGAATGGTATAGACATCAGTAACGTGCCTCACTGTTATGCCGTGGCGGCTCTGAAGCAGCCCTGCACACTGCTGCGGTTGACCGTACTGCGCGAGCAGCGCCACCGTTACCGTTCCCACCACCACTCCCCCACGGAGGCCTTCCCCACACACACCCCCACCATCCGGGATGACAGCCTGCATGTGGTCCTTGTTAAGAGGGCCCCAGATGAACAGCTGGGCATCAAGCTGGTGCGCAGGCCTGACGAACATGGCGTCTTCATCTTTCACCTGCTGGAGGGGGGGCTGGCCGCCCGAGACGCAAGGCTGAGGGTCGACGACCGTGTGCTGGCCATCAACGGCCACGACCTGCGATACGGCGCCCCCGAGCATGCCGCGCTGCTTATTCAGGTGAGAGGCTTATGGGAGAGGTCAAAGGTAATGTGGTGAGCATTAAGGCCTGTGTATACCAACAGACAAAATAGTGACAAACGGCACAAATCAATAGTGAATATGCATCAGAACTATTCAAAATCAAGTCAATCTCTAATACAAGTGTGCAAACCGATGAATTGCAGGCTGTTCTTGATAAAAAGCTAAATACAACCCATCTGAGTGACTATACAGATTTAATTTGCTTTAGCAAAATACAGTCTGTCTAACAATCAAACAGCAACTTTCATGGAATAAACCTAAAATTGCAGTGAAATTTCATCACCACAATGCAGGTAAAACACCTTTGAATGACCTTTAAACAGCTGTGCCGGCGGCAAAACAGTGAAAGAATCAGTCTTTCCACACGGATTGTGAGAAGCTCTTTAGTTTTGTTTCTTTCGTCTATTTCAATTTCACCTACATTTGTTTCCACGACACAAATAATCACGGTTTTTGACTTCCACATTACAGGCTTACAACTAAACGAATGGAGTAATTGCATCAGCTCCTTCAGAATTGTGGGATTGGCTCAAACTCAAGCAGACTTTTTGTCAGAATGTCAATGTCCTAACCGCAAACCATTAATTGTATGGCTGTGTTTACAAATAGCATTAATTTGAAACTTCTCCAGCAATGTTACAAATTAAAGTCATCAAATTTCCAGAGCTAATCTTCTAATAAAAATAACGATGATAATAGAAGTAGTAACCCACTTCAGTGCTTGGAGAAAAAGAGGGGAAAAAATAGACCAAACCTAATCTTAATTGCAAGTGCAATTTTCATGCCTTTAGTTTAACAGCAGATAAATGATTTTTTATGCAATGCTTCACTTTTGAATTGTTGACATTCATTAAGCCTAATATAAGTCATCCTAAATAATTTAAGCACTTTTATTGCTAGGCCTTTTCAGCATTTCAAAGAATAAATGTTTACAAAGCCTTCAAATCCTAACCTGTGGCGTCTAATTCAGTAAATCATACAGTGAGTTAGCCAAGAACTAGACCAAGTCTAAATCCCCAAAAAGCCAATTGTGATGGTTCCAAATAAAATTGGATGTTCCTTGAGTAGTATTGCAAAGTATAAAGAGTTTACAGAAGGTTTGTGGCAGATAATCATCTCGGTGGTTGGAGGTGTGTCATAACGATATAAAGGTGTATAGGAGAGTATAATGAGTGTGTGATCTAATATGTATTTCAGTGTGGTGGTGGGTCTTTCTGAATGTTGTTATTCAGCTCGTTGCTTCCTGTCTGGTTCAGATTGGTCTCGAAGGAACCAAGATGGCCGCTCACAGCAGGAGTTTCTGACATAGATTAACTGCTGGCAGGAAACTGATTAAATTAGTCCAATTAGTGCGATAACAAGCTAGACCCACTCATTTAAGAGGCAGCGACAGAGCACTAAACTCCCAAGAACTCCATGGGCTCTCAATGTGAGTGTGCGCTCGAGAGAAACAGCAGCTAAAAGGTTGTCAACAGAAAAGGGTTAATAGAGAAGAGAGCTGTGATGCACTCAGATGGAACGAGAGGAATGGATGAAGAGGAAAAGATAAATAAATCAGAGAGGGAAAAAAGCTTACACATACACACAGACTGCACCATAGATCCCAAATCTCCATTTATATTAGTTTTTCTTTAATAAGTATACACTCCTGAGATATAATCACACATGCACACTGAGCTGGAGCTGTAGGGCATTGGCACTCACAACATCTGGTAATTGTGCTTCCTAGACGTCCGGAGAGTAATAATGAGATATTACGCACACACTCTCCTTAAGTATGAACGGACTATTTTAAATTTCAAATTCAGTTTTTGAACTGCTCGTTCCTCAGGGAAGTTGTTGTCCTCTGTTTGCTCTGTTGTAGAGTTCAAAAGGTTTCTGCAGTAGATGGCAAATGCTAGGCCAACACTATTACACCAATGTTAAAGGCCCCAAGAAATTTGGTGGCTTTTAGCCCATGTTTGTTCTCTTCGAGAACATCTCGCAAGGTATCTCCTTCACACAATATAAAGGGAGCTAAATAATTTGATCCAACAATTTATACAGTGAAAACTATGTATGTATAAAATATTTGACTTAATTTGAATTTTGTATATATATAAGGGCTGTCAAACGATTATCCAAAATAAAAGTTTGTGTTTATGTGGGTGCACTGTGTATAATTATTTTATAAATACACACACATGCTTGTATATATTTAAGAATTATTTTCTTGTATATACTGTATATAGATTTATATATAATTTATATTATATGCAAATATAAATATTTTATATATAAATAATATTTTTTTCTTAAATATACATGCATGTGTGTGTGTGTATATATATATATATATATATATATACACAGTGAAACCACATATATTATGTAAACACAAACTTTTATTTTGGATGCGATTAATCATGATTAATATACACCCTAATCACACCCTAATATATATCAATAATTATTAATGTCATAATTTATGAAAGCAGAATTTTAATTCCATTCAATTTTAAATTTAAGTTAAATACTAAATTTAAGTTAAAGTTAATTTAAGTAACATACTAATATTTTAACATTTATGTAACATTTAATTATTTTTTTAAAGAAATACTGATGATGACTCATCTTGCACTACGAAGATTTTTGTCCAATTAAATGCTCTCTAGAATGAAATGTTCCCGTCAAGCTACTTTATCTTGTCCCTAGTTAGCATATGTTTCAACATTTATATAAGCTCATGTATTAACATAAAAATCACATAAGGCAGGACACTAATGGCACCTGCTACATGTTCTACAGGCGAGTGAGGACCGCGTCCACTTCATTGTGTCCCGCCAGACTCACATCCCTACTCCGGACATCCTACAGGAGGCACCATGGAACATGGAAGGGCCACCGCCCTACTCGCCTGTGGATATTGAGCAGTCTTTACTGGTGGGTTTCATGAGCATAGCCGCACACACTATTTATTTCCAGTCCCTCTGTACCACTTTACTAAACATTCTCTTTTTGAGGAAAAAGATCTGAAACATCAAAGAATCGCGCAATCAGCCAGCTCTCTCTCTCACACACACACACACACACTCCTCTGAGAGAGCCGTCTCCAAACCTATTAACAGAAGAAAACCCAGAAGGAAGAAACACAGCCGTGGCAGGGAGGGAGGATTTTAGTGTGTCTTCAAAATGGGATTTTCTGCTTCTAAATATCTGCACTGACAACTTTCCTTGTTCTAATAAAACTCAAATTCATCGTTAGTCATTTCTCTCCCTTCCTTTCTCTGCTGATAAAAACATCATAAACCAATCTGTGAGGGTTTGCTGGTTTAAGAGTCAATGGCAAATAAAGGTGTGGACTGCATTTCCCATTATTAGGCAAATGTACATGGGTGAAATCGTTTTAAAACGTGTAAAGATGTGGTGAAGCCATCAAGTATGTTATCTAACCTGAGTAGGCTACATGAGTATACACATCTTTATAGCAACACTATTTTAATTATCTGATTTGGTAACACTTTACATTAAGGTTTCATTAGTTAACACCAACTACTTAGTTAACATGAACTAAGAATGAACAGTTTCTACAGCATTTATTAATCTTAGTTAATTTACTACGTTATGGGAATCAAATCTATCTGTTAACATTAAGTTAATGCACTATAAACTATCATGAGCTATAAATGAAAATGCTGTTATCATATACTCACCCTCAAGTAGTTTCAAACCTGTATGAATTTCTTTCTTCTGTTGATGGACCCCATTGACTTTAATAGTATTTTTTTCCCTACTATGGAAGTCAGTGGGGTCCATCAACTGTCTGGTTACCAACATTCTTCAAAATATCTTCCTTTGTGTTCAGCAGAAGAAAGAAATTCATACAAGTTTGAAACGACATGAGGGTGATTAAATGACGACAGAATTTTCATTTTTAAGTGGGAACTATTCCTTTAACTTAACAAAGATAAATAAATACTGTAACAAATGTATTGCTCACTGTTAGTTCATGCATTAACTCATGACCTTATTGTAAAGTGAAACTGATATTTTAACAGACTTATTAACCTTGACACACGTACGGTAATGGCAATCTGCAGGGTTCTTCTCTATGATGTAATTTCCTGTTGTATGTTTTTTTTAAATGAAAAGCATGACAAATGCCCAACCCCCTATAAACCCAGACCAAACCAATTCCTCTCCTTTATCTCTCCACCACTCTTGTTAATTCTCTTTTACACACTAAGAGAGGTGAAAACATTCTGGCAGTATATAGGCAGAGGCTTTTCACTCCTCCAAATTAGACACGGCCTAACACACACACACACACTCTCTCTCTCACTCTAGCGATAAGCCTAACACACTAACTCCAGATCTGATGTGCTGTAGCCGGAGGCTCAGACTAAATATAAACAGGCCTTTTGTTGAACTTTAATAACGCTTTTTATTAAGTTAGAACTTAGCGTCTGTGTTTGTTGTTTTTGGAGGGGATCCAAGGCAGAATTTGGCTGCGGTCAGCAATATCACAGCATCCTGCAAGCTCAACATTTATTACAAACACACGCTTCGGGCAGTCATGTGTTCGGACATTATTCTTATGCGTGGCGTCAGGAAAGCATCAATCAGTGCCCAACAACAGGTCATAGATAACCACACGTCATAATCCGAAAACTTTAGCGATTAATCTCTCGTTTCCCGTTCCTCCATTCCAGGATTCGTGCCAAAAGCCTGCGTGTTACGAGAAGACGGTGACTCTGTTGAAGGAGCCGCACGATTCTCTCGGTATGACGGTTGCCGGTGGGATGAGCAGCAGAGGGTGGGATTTGCCAGTCTATGTCACCAACGTTGACCCCAATGGAGTGGTGGGACAGGAGGGCTCGATCTGCAAAGGTACACCCTCACAAAGTGCTTAACCTATTCAGGGACATCTGACAAAGCCACACAGCTGTTTTCCAAGGTGCCCCTCTGATCTTTCCTTTTGAATCCAAGTACACACACACAAACAAAGACACACCTGCTACTGCATATGCATGACTGTCATCAGCTTTGCCAAAATATGCAAATAACACTAGAAAATGACACTCCCACACATACACCTGCCATACTGTCGCTCTATTAGCTCCCGACTGATCCTATGGAAGTTTCTTAAGGTTTATTTCTGTCACATGTGACATGAACGTAGGTGTGTGAAGGTGTGATCATGCACAGGCAGGTGTATGGAGGCCTCTGTGTGTAAATACAGACACATACATATATACATAAAGTGTTTAGACTTTTTTTTCTGTATATAGGTACGGTAAACCCTGAGTTTGAATTATACAAAAGCTTTGGGAGGGTCCAATATTTGGAAGAAAATGGGCATTTGAAAATAGCATTTGCAGTAAAATATTTCTAGACTACTAGTTAACCTTCTCATTCTCATTCAAAACGTGTACAGTAATAACAGTTGTCTTATCGAGAATACAGCCATTCTAATCTTTGCAAAGTATTGCATATTTTCCTCTAGTGTTACACGATGACATCATTTTATTGTAAAAATGACATTGTTTTTTGATTAAATACATTATTAATTGAAAAATTGTATTGAAAAAATACACAAACGCTAATATTAAAATTGGTAGTTTTATTCCGCAAGGACGCTTTCAATTAATCGAAAGCGACAGTGAAGTTTATAATATTACAAAAGATTTCTATTTCAAATCAATTCTGTTCTTTGGAGTTTTCTGTCATGCAAAAGTACATGCAACAACACAACTCTGCTGTGCAATAATCGATCTGTTAGAGTGTGGTGATTTCTTTATTAATGTCTATCCTGTCTCCTAGGTGACATTCTTCTAAACGTGAATGGGGTTGACCTGACGGGTGTGACTCGGAGCGAGGCTGTGGCTAACCTGAAGAACACCTCATCCCCGGTGGTCCTGCGGGTACTAGAAATGAGACCCCCTAATGACAGCTCCCTGGACTGCATGCCGCCCCTGCATTCCCCCTGCGCTCTCTCGCCCTCTTCACCCGGAGACACCAAACTACCCCCGCCTAATGATGACTACGCCCCCCTCTGGGTGTCCTGGCTCCAGCTGCCCAGGTACAATCAACCGAATAGGCTTAAATTAATTTTAAGTATCTTTGGCTTGTTTTGTTCATATAAAAGTAAATTATGTCAAAATGCAATATTTTAAAATTTAAAATGTTTTTCCCCCTAGTCTTTCCCCCACATTCTTCCCTTCTCTGAGCTTTTTATTTTGCTCATATTTTATGAAGCTTTAGAAATTAAAAAGTCACTTGCCATGATAGAGTGTGAACGTTCTAAACAACTTCTAGAATGATTTCATTTGTATAATTCAGAAAGAAAAATAAAGAGCGACAGGAGAACAGAGCAGGGTTGAGGAAAGCCCTTCTCACACTCTCTGCTGTAACAGGTTTAGACGCTTGAAAGTGTGACGGCTTTAAATAGACCCTTTTCTCCCATTCCCAGAACTTTTCCTTGTAATTATGCATCCGTCTTTTTTTCACACTGTTCTTTTGCTCTTGTCTGCTCGCCGTTTCTACATCGTCTTTCACAGAAGTCCACTCTAAATCTGAGCTTTGAACTTTCATGCTGTTAGCTGTCAGACATGGTCGATATCTAGCCTTTGATATACAGTAGCATTTTTCCAAGGATTGCCAGCGTTGGAATACAAATCGAGACTTTCAGTGTTGCTTGACATTTGAAAGTCACTTATTTCCCTTATATAAGCTCCATCTGAACCAATGTAATGGCTCCTGAAATGCACCCCTATGCATCTCCATTAAATGAATAGATTACCCAAAAATTGTAATTTTGTAAAATAAGGTTCAATTTGTTAACATTAGTTTATTAATATCAAGTAATAATGAACAATTTATTAATCTAAGCAAATTATAATTTACATATAATTTATACAACTTATACAAATGTTTAAAATGTATTAATACTAGGGGTGTAGATAACCTGTAATGCACAAGACAATAGTGACACCAGAATAAAAATATTCATGATTCGGAAGCTGAAAACTGAATTATTTTAGACGAATATGCTTGCACTCTGTCACTGATAATGTAGGCCACAGAAATATTCCCCCATTGCATTATTATACATTGTATAGTAGTTTAATGTAGTACTGACACTGAAACTCTGCAAAAATGGAATTTTTTTCTCACACAGTAATTTTCATTTTAAGGTGAGACACTACAGGTGAATCACCATGAAACTTCCTCAGTTTATTACTGACACAAGTATATAAAAAATGTATTATAAGTTTTTAAAATGTGCATGTTTAATTATGCAAATTAGGCATTATCTCATTTTGCATGCATTTTCGATAGATAGATCTGAACATATGATAAAGCCAGGTGCAAAATGCTTTTTTCATTTTGTTTAAAAAAGGGATTTCAGGATATATGCTTTCATTACCTAGGAAATCAAAATATACATACCCCCCAAAAAATACATTTTCGCCATTTTTTTAATTAAAATGTCACATAAATCAGGCCAGGAATCCCTCTGAAAATATCTTCACAATACTGCTAAGTGTATAACTGGAAAGTTTGGTGTACATACGGTAGGTGCTACATAGGCTGAGAAGTTTCTACTGGAGAATGACAAAAACTCATTTTGAGAAAAAGCCATTTAAAGATTTAAGTGGGATTTTAATACATTTCTATTGGAAAAAAAATGCTCACAAACAGAATAAATGCTCAGGCCCTTAGTAATAATAATATAAAATATTTCAAGCTCATGAAATTTTGGGTTACACAGCGTTGTGCACGAGATTCAGAGCTTTCAAACGATACCGGTCATGACAGACTTCAGTAAACAGACAGAACAAGGTATGACGCATTGAAATGCTATAACGTCTTGGTAAATTCGGGCGAAATGTACTGCCGCAAGTAAACTAAATGCAATTAATAAATATTTGAATGTATATTTTCAACGCAGCTTTCTTTATAGCAGCTTGAAAGAACACATATTGAAAGAGTAAACTAGCCCAAAATCTCAAAACTGATCACTGCATGAAAAACTGTTTTTGCTTGCTGTCTCTCGCCTTAAGTGAACTATACCAATATCAGTTGTCTCTGACTATACACAATACAGATTGTCGATACATATAGTTGCATTTTTGTATTGCGGTATATTATTGATATTGACAATATATTGTTACACTCCCAATTAATACTGTATATGCATGTAGAAATTAACATTATCCAAGAATATTAAATGCTGTATTGTTCATAATACCAAATGCTTTAGCTAATGTTAACAAATTAAACCTTATAGTAAAGTGTTAACAGAAAATCAGTTTTTACTCACTCGTGTTGTTTCAACAGAACATGCCAATACGAGTCAGTTACCATTTAAAAAGAGATGCATTGAAAGTGAATAATTTCCTGTCTGGGTGAACTATCCCTTTAAGTGTTCTTGCATTATATGCTTCGTCCTTTGTATACTGTAACTGCTGAATGACAATAAAATTAACCTTGAATTTCCTGTCCATTCCAGGCATCTATACTGCTGTAAAGACATTGTCCTCCGCAGGAGCACGTCTGGCAGTCTGGGTTTCAGTATTGTGGGTGGACAAGAAGAACTCAACTGTAACCAGTCCTTCTTCATACGCTCTATCGTAGAGGGCACACCGGCCTACAACGATGGGAGGATACGGTACGGTCACCTGGAATACGTAGTGTCTGCTTTTGACGGAAACCATGCTTTATGTAGAAGAGTACAATTTATTAAATGCTATTTTTTTTCCTTTACCCTCATTCTTGTCATGACTCCAATATTCTGAAACTCTTTGTTTTTTTTCTTATTAGTTGTGGGGACATCCTGCTGGAGGTGAACGCCAAGAGTACCTGGGGAATGACACACACGGCTCTAGTCCGCCTACTCAAGGAGCTGAGGGGTCGGATCACTCTCACCATTGTTTCTTGGCCTGGCAGCCTGCTATAGGACTACTCTGCATGGGGGAGGGGCTTATTACACTGACCCCACACTAGGGGGTGGAGCTTACACTACAGACCTTATAATGACAACAAAAATGGTGGATTTTCGAATCTGAGACTTCCTTAAAAGGTTGGGCTTAAGACACGGACTGCCCCTCCAGGAGCAGGAAATGAAACATGGACCTCATCCAGGTAGTAGGAGCTAAGACTCTAAACCTGAAGGCGAAGCCAACAACACAACTCCACCCACCAAGAAGCACGTTCGTCAGACTCCAAAACCAGGAGGCGCTTTCACAATTGCCCTTTTGTCGATCGGCAAGGCATAAATATGACATTTGTGCATGAGAGGAGCATCATCTTGGTTGTAGACAGAAGGCGGAGCTCTAAATCAGTACTGAAGGACATGGGAGGGTCTAAAAACAAATTCAGGAAGCACGGAGGAGTCGGAAACAGATGTTATAAAGATTTTTGGCACTGTGCTCTATGTAGTCAGATTGTGTCACTCTAATGTTGTTCGTAGAGGACGTTCAAGATGCTGCACATGAGAGGGGTTTCCTTGAGAAGCGAGGTGAAAGGGATACTGGGATAAGTAGGGTTTGGGCGGGGGACACACATTGCCAATTCCATTATATTTACATGTTAGAAAATGCATCGAAGTGGACGCACATTCTTTACTATAAACGTCGATGTCTGAAAAGATGATAACGAAACAGATTCAAGCACTTGTACAATGACTAATATTACCTTTGGTTCATTTCTCTCTCTGTTTCTACGGCTTTCGGATATCGGCTTCATTTCGTTCGTTCTGACAGTGGTTCGTTCTCTCCATCCGGCGGCATGGAGACACATTTGCCAAGTAGTTCTATCTTTTGTTGGTTTTCAGATGCTGTTGCATATGAAAATAAACTATAGTGAGTAATAAAAAAAAGAATAGCAACTGAAAAAAGAAAAGCAATGTTAATAGTCTATTTTAAAAATGGATGATAACTTATAATGCTTATAAATGACAATGTGAGATTTAGGCGGCCTTGCTGACTTTTTTGTTTACTTTGGAGGAGAAAGGACAGGAGAGAGTGGTGTGTGAAAGGCTCACTGTGTGAGTGTGTGTATGAGTGTGTGTGTAGGTGTCATTGTGGGGTAAGGTGTGTGTGCTCTGGCATCTCATGCTTTGGCTTGTGCAGTAAATTGTATCTGTTGGTTCCTTTGGTTCAATGATCAATAAAGTCATTCTACAAGGAGACTTGTGTTACTGGGAGAATTCTTAGTGTGCACTGTATGTGTGTGTTCCTGGTAAACCCTACGTCATGGGGGTTTTATGTTATTTGTCAGAGACATTTTGGTCCCCATGAGGAAAAGAGCTTATAAATCATACAAAATTATGTTTTTTTATGTAAAAATGCAGAAGGTTTCCTATGAATTCGGAATTGAATATACAGTATGTACTGTATAAAAATCATTATGTCTTTGGAAAGTCCCCATAAAACATCAAAACCCAATGTGTGTGTGTGTGTGTACACTACTGTTCAAAAGTTTGGGGTTGGTAAGCTTTTTAAACGTTCTTAAAAGAAAAGTCTTATGTTCACCAAGGATGCATTTATTTGATCAACAATACAGTGAAAACTACGAAAACCCTGAACCACAACGTAAAAAAAAAAAAAATCTAGCACTTCGAGATTAAAGTCGAATCATTTCGAGATTAAAGTCGAAATATTTCGAGAGTACGAGAATACAGTCTTCCATAGAAGTTGTGTGTGTGCTTGCTATTGTTTCACATTGCTGCACACACAGGCATTCATAATGATGCATAATGAGTGTTTCACACTGTGTGTGTGTGTGTGTGTGTGTGTGTGTGTGTGTGTGTGTGTGTGTGTGTGTGTGTTTGTGTGCGTGTTTTGTTTCAACAAAAGGAAATTCAACAGGTGCCAATCTACCAGCATTAGGCTACCATTATAGGATGTTATAAAATATACTGTGCTGGAATAAACTTAAGCCTATGGGAAAACCAACCAGGAAAACACTTTTCAGACTGGATGGAGATAACCAGCTATATGAATGAATAAATAAATGAGGCATTTATATAGCGCTTTCATATGTCTATTAGGCCTTCACTCAAAGCAGTTTACAATCATATCAGAGAATCTCTCCTCAACCACCATTAGTGGTAATTAAATCCGAGGAAATCACGAGATCTGGCCAAATGATTGGATACAGAATGATGCTGCACTTAAAATGTATCCAGAACGTATTTACGGTGAAGAGGGAGACAGAACGGTTACTGTTGTGTTCTTCACCCAGATAGTGTTGACTAGACGAGCACGAAAACACTGCCACATAAAGTTTGGACCAGATTGTGATACCTACACCGGCAGAGTCTGTATGCTCGTCTATGCGCTTGTCTATAGGCAACGCCATGGAAATTCTTGTTGGTAGATTAGCACCTGTGTAGAATTTTGTTGAAAGCCCAGAAAAATTTTGAGTTGATCCATGGCAGTTCGACTTCACAAGTGCATTTCTTTACACACGCACACACATTTCGACTTTAATCTCAACACATTTCTAGCCTGGCTGTGCCCTCCTATGCACTTCCGCTCAATTTCATTAAATGAAATGTACTAGAGTCTGGTTGAACCGGGCTAACACATTTCAAATTGTAACAGTAAAACTGTAAAATAGTATTTCAATTTAAAGTAACTGTTTTCTATTTTAATATATTTTAAAAAATGTCAAAAACGTCATTCATTCCAGTGATGGCAAAGCTGAATTTTCATCAGTCTTCGGTGTCACATGATCAGTCAGAAATCATTGCGTCAGTTGTGATACCTAATATTTTTGTGGAAACCATGATACAATTTTTTCAGGATTATTTGATGAATAGAAAGTTAAAAAGAACACATTTATAATACAAAATATTTCTTTAAAAGAAAGGAAAAAAAATCTTACTGACCCCAAATTTTGAACGATAGTGTAAATGTGAATGTACCGACTGACCTTGACTGAAGGTCAGTACACCTGCTGGCGTTCTCCACGCTAAAATCACGGTTCACACACATTTACGTTTCTTGACCATGTTTATAATGATTTTCTTCAACAGAATTAACATTTGGCACAACAAAAATACCATTTTGTATTATCAAAACAATAAGAAGTCATTTTAAATAATGAATAAATAAATTTGTAAACTAAAAAATAGTGGACCACTTTTTACTTTTTTATAAACTTCATTTTCAAGAAATTAAATGTTAAATTGCTAAAACTGTAACATAAATTGGCTTATCAAGTGTTTGGCATATGATTAATCAAAATCTATTCAGTTGGTCACTCAGGCTTTGACGAAACTAATGATCTTTCACTAAAGACCTCCTATTGGTCAACAAACGGGCTCACCAGCTGGCCAGGGAGTTATTCTGTGGCCTCTGACTGGTTCTCCTGGTTCGCAGTGCACTCCTCGCTGGGCTGAACGCTTCCTCGGTTGTGTCTGGAGCGTTTGTGCCTGTGTCTCCTGTGGCTATCTGCGTCACCACTATCATGACGCCTCCTACTGCTGCCACTAATGAGAGAATGAGAGAGGGAGGGAGAGAGAGAAGAAGGTCACATGATCTAAAAATATATAATGGTTATATAAGATGGTTTGCCCACTCTAATGAATATCACTTTTGTAAGCCTTTTTGTGTGTGTGTGTGTTATTCTGCATGCTGTGGGGCTGTAATGGCGAGTGAACATACTATACATTTGTTGTGGTGTTCATTGGCATGGTTTTATTTCAGTTAGCCTATAGCTGGTTTGATTTCTTATGGAAAGTACCCCATGCCAATCTCTACTGTAGGTATGGTGAAGGGTATGTGATGATGTGGGGCTATTTTAATTCCAAAGGCCAGGGGAACTTTATCAGGATGCATAGTATCCTGGATCCATGAAATAACTGGCCTTTAAAAATAAAAATCTGCCTTCCTCTATGGGAATTTAACATAGGGGTGTCCTGACTTATGCCCCCTGTATTTTAAGGAAGAACATTTATTTATTTATGAAACCTTATTCATTCACAAAGAAAATTGGTGTCCTTAAAGGTTGGATTTTTTTCCTCATTTTTTAAATAAGGCATTAAGATCAATTTCCAAATTATTTTTATTCCTCTTTTTAGTCAACTCTAGCATGGGTGTGTTCACTTATGCTAAGCACTATAAAAAAATAGCCTGTTAAAAGATCTGATCTAACCTTTTTTATTTATATCCAGTTGGGATAACGATTTACTTTTTCCAGTAAAATGTGGGTAAAAATTTGTAGACATCACTGTTTTGGCTCTCTGGGCCCAAGATTCTCATCTTTGATGACTATTATGAGTGTTTAGGTTTTTTCTTTTCTTATACAAAGTACTACAGCTGTCTCGATGGAAATGTATAACTATTTCAAAAAAGTATTGCCCGGACCTCCGTTGGGAAGGAAACAGAGACTGGACCTCTTGGAACTTTTATTGAATACCCCTGTTCTAAATAATGCACAATATGTCATCATACAGAAATGCTCTGTCAGAAAACATTTTGCATAAAATTCTTATATTGTATTTTACAGCTTTTTACTGCCTACTGTCACAGTAGATTTTGATCTAATCACTGATTCATGTTGTTGGGAATGACTTCTTAACAATACGTGTTTTCAGAACTAATTTAGATTGTAAATTTTGGTTATTTTTCCATGAAAATGTTTTGCTTATTTTTCCATGAAAAACACTTCATGTTAGCTCCATATATCAGCAATATTTGACAGCCACAGGTCACTATGGTGCCAGTAGAGGAATTAAACACATAGCTAAACAGGATTAGAAGAGAATGTTACATTTAAATATATCAAACGCTAGATAACATATTAAAAACATACAAACAGAGGAGTTCACTGCCGGGACTTTTTCATACATCTAGGCCGGGGAAATGTTTTAGTCACCTTTGGTATATATTTTGTCTTTTACTGTCTTGCACCATAGTGAATTTCTGACCCTGTGCGTTACCTGCGTGAGGATCTGTGTTGTTCACTCCTTTCTCTGTGTCTTCGTTCTCGATGTCTGTCCCTCTCTCCTTCTCTTCCCGAGCTTTCCCTGTACCTCTCGCTCCCGTGATGACTGTGATCCCTGTGTCGAGATGCACGCTCCTCCTCACTGCACACATATTCAAGCACAATGAGGCAAAGTAACACAGCACATCAGATCTGTTCTAAAACTTAGCAAGATGCCTCACTACCTCCAAGGTAGCTGCCTTTTAACCATCAAGGAACCTCATAAGTGACCATTTGAAATGCTCAACATATGCAGAAACTACACGGCAAACTGGCAATTGTTATCAACACAGTTTGACTTTTGCATTTTGCTATGCTAACGGTGCTAAGCTAATGCTCGCTCTTGTCAATGATTTATCTTCAAGTATAACATATTCCAATGAAAGTGCTAGTAGCTTCCCCAAAACTCTTAACATGAATCAGAATGAGTCAATTAAAGCATATTATATTCTTCTACATGTTTACAGGGTCACTGTCATGCTAACACCGCATCTCTCTGAAATGGCTCAACTTGCAGACATTATGATGTATCCTAATGAAAGCCTCTAAGTGCACATTAACCAAACTCAATAACATGACCCTCCATCACTAATTAGCAGTCAGCTAAAAGCTCCGGCCCTCAGGTGATGCGCAATAGATTAGTCTTGGAAACACTACTCAGATGACGGGGTACAAAA